ACACACTAAAAGGGGATAATGAAGATAATTAAAAAGCAGGGAATGAAGAGGTTACAGCTCTTCCGTCTAGGAAAGGTCACTTAACAGTAACCTTAATGTATATGAAAAGACTGTTACACAGAACCAGGCAGAGAGGCTGGAGGGACACCCTTTAAGAGCACTTACTGTTCTTGCAGTGGAACTGAGTTTGGGGCCCAGCACTCACATCAGGCGGCTCAGAGCACCAGTAACTACAGCTCCCAGGGACTTTAACACTTTGTCCTCTACACTCAAGCACATACTAATGCCCCAACCAAAACACAAACAAAACCCTCTTTTTTATTTACCTTTTTCTATTTACTAAAGAAAGTCTACAAAAATATATTAATTCGGGCTTGAGACCTGGCTTATCAGTTAAGAACACTGACCGCTTGTCCAACTCCACGGTGTCTCATAACCACCTATCACTCCAGTTCCCGGGATCCAGGAGATCCAGGGCCTTTTCTGGCCTTAGCAGGTAGCAGCCATTCAAATAGTACACAGCCATACGTGCAGACAACTCACCCAAACACATAACATCATCACAGAAGAAAGGGTGACACAGCACCTTGCTAAATACCTGCACGGCCACAGCAAAGGGCTTGGGAGACTAAAACAAACCCTTACGTATCTTAAGTGATTTTAACCTTATTCAAATTACAGAGACTAGTACAAAAGATTCTTTCACCTACAACTGGGGCTGCAGAGCTCTTACTCACATGTATAAGGGAGTAAGACCCTAGAATTGATCCCCAGCATCAAGGCAAGGGGAAAAACCCCTCTCCATTTCCTCAGCACCTTACTGTATTTGGTCCATGTAGATAAGGATTTTGTCTGAAGCTTTGGAGAGCAATTTTCGGATAATTTTCCTTATCCCTAAAATTTTTCATTCATTCTTCCTTAAAACAGGGATGTGCTCCTGCCTACACAGTGATACTAAATTTGTGAAATTAAAACTGATATAGTATTATTTAGTCTACAGCTTTTTCTGAAATTTGCCTGTCCTTTAAGCTTTTACTAATCTAATTTTTTGAGAGAGAATCTCTCTCTTGTAGCCAGGATCTTGGTCGTCCGGTCCCCCAAGTGCAGGGATTACATTTTGTACCGACATGCTCACTCCCTAAAGTCCTTTAAAGGAAAAAACAACAAAACTAACAACAAAACAGACCTGGGCTGCTGATTCTTTATAGAACATTTGAAACTTACATTTTACAGATTAGCCACACATGGTGGCCTACTCCATCAGTCCTAGCACTCAGGAGGCAGGCAGAGGCAAATGGATCTCTGAGATTGAGGCTTTCCTAGTTTGTAAGTCAAGTTCCAGTATAGCTATGGCTATCTGTCTTGAAAAAAACATTTTTTTTTCTGTAGACTGAGCTAGACTCTTCATCTTTACAATGATGAATCAACACCTAGGCTCCTAAGACAAAGCTGCAAATTTGTGTGCACACTGTTACAATTATGTCAGGTCTGGAACCCAGGAAAATTGCTGAGGCACTAACAGCAAAACTGGCTGCTCACATATAACCACCTGTGTCTCATGGTAAATGATTGGATTTTTAAAAAAATTTAAAACTTACAGAAATTCTGAGGGTCTAACAAAGTGTTCTAAGGTGTATAAATAAAAGTTGTAAAGCTCTGAGGATATGAAAGTTTAAACAAGTTGTGAAGGTCTAAAAAAGGTGTCTAAATGCAAGTTATAAAGGTCTATGGAAGTGATTTATGGTATATAAAAATGAGAAACGATTCAGATTTCTTTCCCTCTCTGTGCTATTGTTATGCTAATATGTCAAAAACTCAGAGTTTTAACATTAGTCAAGAGAGTTCTGATAAGCTATTAATCTAGGCCCTGGCAAAGCAGTGACTACATCATAGTCACAAGCTCAAAATTTGAAATTTCCTTTGGTTATCTTCTAAGTATAGATTTTAAAATGTTTCTCGTTGCGCTAAAAAGATCTCTAAAATTAAAGAATTCATATACTTCAGAGAGTCGACTTAGATCCTTTTCTCACTGGTCAAATGCACTTCAGATAAGCACTACAGTCAGTCAACAGCCCAAGTTTCCCCAGCTGCCTGTTCCTGAGGGTGGGATCAATCCTCTACTTGGGACTCCCCTCCACTAACTACCAGGACCAACTCCTCGGCATTTCCTTCTCTCCCTCGTCTGTCTGTCGCAGCAGGTATCAAGTTAACTGCATACAAATGCTGGCCCCAGGTGTTACTTTGGAATCAGCATCCCAAACAGTCCCAAAGTAGCTAGCCCTAGGTGGTCCAGCTACACAGATTGCTCCAAACTGGCTAGTGCTTCCCTAGCCCCAGGTGGATCGGGAGAGCCTGGGCATCCATCCAGCAGAGCGAAACAGCCCGCATTCATCTCTCACTTCCTGGTCTTGGTCAGCATTCCAGCTTTCCTGGACCCCTGACAAGGCTCCAGTCTAGTAACTAAGAGACGACCCCTTTGCCAACAACAAAAGCCTGGGATGCTAGGTTTTAAACCCCAGCATCCCCAGTCCCTACCTGTTACACGGTCCTCTCAGCTGGTATACCCCGGGCCCCTACCATGAACTTTCCAGTCCAGGAACTGGGCTAGGTTGCCCTTCTACCCAGCTATTTTGGCCTCTTGGCCACTACTCCTGGTTTCCCTCTATCTCCCCCTCCTCATATGGCCTGGCTCAGCTTCCTGTTCCTTCTGGACCCTTCCACATATCTCAGTCTATGGTCTCCCTCGCATCTCTAATCTCAAGCTCTCTTCTTCGAGACTAGGTTTATCTGTGTAGCTCTGGCTATTCTGGAACTTGACTTTTAGACCAGGCTGGTCTCGAACTCACAGAGATTTGCCAGCCTTTGCCTCCGAGATCACTGGCAAAAAAACAAAAACACACCTTTCTCAATCTGTACCTAGCAGCAGTCACCTCCTCCTTTCCTTCTTTTTTTCATTCAAATTACCGAGTTTGTTGTGGGTACAACAAATGCCAAGTCCTGAGCATCCACCCAAGAACAACAAACAGCAAAACCTTGTTAAGGTAGATCCAGTCGGGCAAATTAAACTAAATTAAAAATTAAATCTAAAAATTATATGAAAAATGTTAGAAACAGAGAATTTTTAAAATGAGGGATGGAAAGTCTCTGCAAAGAGGGGCAGCTGTGAGATTGGTGTCGGTTTCCTACTGCGGGATCTCCTAGTTAAAGTGCCGACTTTAAGTCTTCAGTTTTTTAAAACTTGTAATACGAACGATGAATCCAAACTCCAAAGTCCTGTCGGAGCCGCTTCAGGTGCGGCTGTAATCACTTTCTCCGCAACCTTCGCCTGCCTGCGCGGGGCCTTGCAGCCCGGTGTGCTGAGCGTGCCTGCGGAGCCTCGTGCCCAGTCCAGGTGTTGCCTCTTCGGTAGAGCTGAGCAACCGAGCTCGTCACGTCTAGAAAGCCCCGAGGCGACGCGGCTCCGGGGAACCGGCTCCTCCAAGCGGCCTCGCCCACTGCAATGCAATCTGGGTGGTTTGTCCAGATTCCCCGCCCAGTCCCAGCCCCCGCGACAACTAGGGACAAGGAGGCAGGCTCAGAGACACCCGGGTTAGGGCGTGGCCAGGAGAGGCACCCGAGGACTCGGGAGCTGAGTGCGAGCCAAGCCTCCCCCTGTTCTCCCGGACGCAGGTGCCACCATCCCCGCCGGCCCCCCGCCTCCGGCCGCATCTCATCCTACCGGGAAACGCGCGCCGCCGGCCTCCGACTCCTCTCCCCGCTCCCGGGAGTCTCGGCTCCCACTGGGAAAGTGTGGTCCCTAGGTTCTCTTGACAAGCGTCCCCAAGAGGGTACCGATAGTTTCCTGCGGTTGCAAGGGTGTGGCCACATCATGTCACTTGACGAATATGCAAGGCCGCACACCTGGCGCTAGGCTAGTAATATTTCACACGGAATTCGGCTCCCAAGAATAGACCGGTTTGAAACAGAAAACTCGAGAGAACTCCACCGACCGCACTTTTCTAAAATGTCAACATAGCCCATCTAGCCCCTTGGTGGCTTGCGGCGGGGCTGGGGTGGTGGTGGCGCAGGAGTCTGTGGGCATAAGTTGGTCAAGTCACACACTCCAAAAAGGCAGGAAACTTAACGAAAAGTGTGTTTGGTCTGACTCTGGAAAACCCTGATGTGGGCTGCGGGACAGATGCATTTCTTATCCAAGGTAAATCACAGTGAACTGTGCCGGGTCCTACAGGGCGTTCCGGTCTCGAACTAGCAGCCAGCGGGACGAAGATGTAACAATTAAAGCGATAGAAGGGGCCACAGGGCCCTTCCTCCCGTGGTTCCCAGCTGCTGTGAGGGCTGTGACTGCATCCCAGGACCTGCCTAGCCAGCCGAGCGTCGGGCTCTGCGGCTCGGGGGTGGGAGGCGGAGGTTCGCCCCGACGTGGAGAGAGCGAATGCCAGCCTCCCGCGCCGTGAGGGGCAGGGCGGGCAGGACATCTTCCTCCGCTGTTTGCACAGAAAGGCGTGCTGGGCTCAGGAGCGGCTGTGCCGGGTTCCGCAATTGCCCGCGCCAGCTTCCCGGGCAGCCGTAGACCGGTCCCTCCCAGGCGCCGCGCCCTGGGCCTCACCTCTGGCCTTCTTTTACCTCTAGGCGCCTTGGCTAACGCGCGACCCCCTCAGCTTCTTCCCCCCCCCCGCCCCCCACGGCCAAGCCAACGCTCCAAATCCCTCGACTCTGCGTCCTCGAGCAGGGACCCTTCCCGCCGTCGCGGCCCCCTCCCCTCGGTCTGGCCTTGGCTACCCTCTGGGTGACAAGTAGCTCTTCCCCGCCCCTTTCCTTCCCTCCCCCTTCTCTCCAGTCCTTGCTTCCCCATTCATCCAGCCTTTGTCTCCCGCCCTCTCCTCTCCCTCTCGCAGCCCCCCCCCCACCGCTGCCACGTCGTGGTTTGAAGGAGCCAATGGGCGGGCGCCGCCAGGTGTCTCTTACCTGCACCACGTGGGGGAGGGGGAAAAGGGGCGGGCAGGTAGAGCCACATCCCAAAACAGAAAAGCTTTCAGCCATTGCGCGCGCCTCCCGGGGGTGCAGCCCGGCTCCTGGTTTTTTTTTTCTTAGACGCACAGGCAATTGGATACAAAAAGGGCAGGCCTGCTGCTCCCTCCTTCCACCCTCCTTCCACCCCCCCTTCCTGCCCAGGGTGTGGAGCGCCGGCCAGGTGTGGGCTTGGGTGGCAGGTTACCGCCTTTTGCCCTGGCGGCCTCGAGGAGGGGGGTGGGCGCTTTCTTTTTCTCTTGGAAGAGGGTTTTAGCACAGGTTTTCTCGTTCTCACTTCCAATCCCACCTCGCCGCCTCCCGACCCCCCTCCTCCCCCTTCCCACCTATCGTCATGACGGCGTCTCCGGATTACTTGGTGGTGCTTTTTGGGATCACTGCTGGGGCCACCGGAGCCAAGCTGGGTTCGGATGAGAAGGAGCTGATCCTGCTGTTATGGAAAGTCGTGGATTTGGCCAACAAGAAGGTACTTCCCCATGTTCTGGTTCAAACGAGGAGTGGGGGCAACGACTTTATTGTAGAAGTTGGAGAAAGGGTGGTCGGTTCCTTTTTTCTTTTTTAAAAGTGGTTGCACGCTTATGAAGCGGGGCCCGAGGCCTAGAGAATCCATAGCAGAACCAAACCTGTTGGCCAACCACCTTGGAGCCATTTAAGTCTTCCGAAACCTGGGCCAGGTCGAAAGGCCCCGCGCTGCCGACCCGCGTTCTCTGCGGGTCGCCGAACGCCTATGCCAAGGTGGGGTTCCCAGGGCGCTAGGGTCCCCTCGGCCTGGGCGACTTGATCCGGGTAGGGTGGGGGTGGGGCGGCCAGATCCCTGGGCGTCTAGGGAGCTTTGATTCTGCTGTTAGGTGCCTGTAGAGCCTCGAGCGGTCCAGGGAAAGCCGGGGAAGAGGAAGATTTCCAAATTGAAAAAGGGGAAACTGACCCCTTATTTTCCACCTCTTAACCCCCGAGGTGGGACAGCTGCACGAAGTACTAGTTAGACCGGATCAGTTGGAACTGACAGAGGACTGTAAAGAAGAAACTAAAATAGACGCCGAAAGTCTGTCTTCCGCGCCACAGCTGGACCAAGCCCTCCGACAGGTGACAGTTTTGGCCGGGCCTCGCCGCCCACCCCCATCCAGCTGGCCCCCCAGACCCGACCCAACCCTACGGCTCCACGCCCTCGTGGGGCGGCCTCCGCTTGTTTCTGGGGCGGGGTGGCGAGATTCCCAGTCTTGTGTGTGGGAGTCCGGCCTGGGGCCGGGGGAGGGCTGCTCTGGAGGGGCTGCTGTGCTTGGCTTCCCGGCCCCCAGGGTCTTGAGCTCCTGCTGCCTCCTGAGTTGTTCTTTGGGCGGGAGAATCAGCGGCGCGCGGCTTACTCCACCAGTCGCCCAGCCAAGTTTCAGTGCCAGCTCCAGCAGCTCTAAGCTACCGGGTCTGGGTTTGTAGCCTAGCCTCTGGATTGGAGGCGCAGTGGTAGATAGAGGGGTAGACCCTCAATCATCCCGCACATGTGCTAGCCATGGCTGTAGTGTGGTTTGCACCTGAGTGCCCTCCCTGATTTTGGCAGAAGTTTCAATTTCCAAGCTTAGTTTCCTCATTACTTCTTTAGTGCCTTTATTGAGATCCGAAGGAGGGGTTGCAAGTACAGACCTGTGGCACTGTTTATTGGGTCACCGTGGACCTGGCGGGATCCCCTGTTGAAATTGAGGTGACCTAAAAACTGACTGCTCTGGGTGCTGACGGTTGCTAGAATCCGGAATAGGGCGGGTCTCAACACCTGTGCTGCACAGTGTGCTCTGCCTTCTCCTGGCCTCTCTGCCTTAGCACACCGGTTTCCAATGAAAGGAATACATTATTTCTCGAGTATTTTCTAAGGAAGCCGATAGCCGCCTTACAGAATTCTGCGTATTCATTACCCCGATTGTTTATCGGATATGTATTCCTTAAACCTGAAACATCCAAACATTTAAAAAGTAACACTATAAAATGATGTAACCTGTAGGCAACCTGTTAGAAGGGACCTGATTAGTCTTATCCTGAATATCGGGGCTGCTAGGAAGTAACATCAGCTTCCGAACAAAAACCGGCAGATTGGTTGGAAAGCTCCCTTGCCTAGGTGAAAAGGGAAGGTTTCTGGGAAAAGGATTCTTTGTGATAATGCCAGTGCCTGTGTCCTGCTTCACAGTCTTCAGGACGACTTTTCTTTGGTTATCTTCAAGTTGGGCCACTTTGGTACGCTTGTAAATTCTGCTTTCGTTGCATCCCTCGTGTGTGTCTCTTGTTCTTGCAGTTTAACCAGTCAGTGAGCAATGAACTGAACATTGGGGTAGGGACTTCCTTCTGTCTGTGTACTGACGGGCAGCTTCACATCAGGCAGATCTTGCATCCCGAGGCTTCCAAGAAGGTAAGAGTACTGGGTTCTGGAAAATCAGATGCTCTCTGAGAAACAAACAAACAAAATCAGTCTGCTCTGACTTCTGGAAGGACAGGTGTACTTTCATTCAAATTATCCTACTTTTAAAGAAGTCCAAGTTTTTGGAAAGATTAAAATGTTCTGAATCAAAAGAATGGTGACCGTTACAAAGCGTTAGTGACCTTGATGTTGATGTACTTGCATGTGAAGAAATTGCAGATGTGTAGCTTAGTGTCAGAGCTTAAGAAGGGTTAACATTCTATTTTACCACACTTCATGGAGGTGTCTGGGACAGTAGTAATTTATAGGTATCCTTTGGTGATTTAAAACATTTTGTTTCCAGCTCCACATCCTCTATTTTCCAAAGTTTGAATTTCTGACGCTTAAAGTAGAAAAGACTGGTATTTTTACTGCATTGTGATAATTTCCTTAATGTGAAATGCTTTATCCTTCAAGAGTAAAAAACCCTTCTAAACGTCTGAATATTTTTAAAACTGCTTAGTAACAGTTACCAACAGAAGCAGTAAAATAACATTTTAGAACATTTCCCTTGGATTGGAAGTAAATGTTCAAAACCAAACTTTAAAATGCTTATTTACTTTTGTATATGTGTGAATTTTTGAGACAAGGTTTCACTCTGGAGCCCAGGCTAGCCTCAAATTCATGATGTTCCTGCATCATCTTTGCTGAGATTACAGGGGTGCACTGATACCTTGTATCACTGGGGTCATCTTTACTATTTCTCATGTAGAAAAAATTTATGCAAGTGTTTTGGATCTACTGTTCTCTTCCTGGGAAGAATATTTCTGAAGGACAATGTAGAGCACAGACAGCTCACTCAGTGAAGCCAGTTTTTGCTAACAATTCAGATTAGTTGTGTTGTTCACCACAGTAAACAGGCACAGAGGTTGGAAAGATAGGCTAATTTCAAGGCACTGTGTGAGGCTGAGAAAGTTGGCAGGTAGAAACAGATAGCAGGTTCAGTTACTGCTGCTTGTCTTTGCCTTCATTCTTTAAAGCAGGGAAAGCTGGTAAGTTAAACATATAATCATTTGAAAAGTGTCTGCAGGAGAATCTCAGATCCTTCACCTTGAAGGTCCATAGAAATCTTAGTAACCAGGTGATGTCACTGAATTAGGTATACTGGTAACTGTGTCATTGAGTCAGAAGTACAAAGGAGTCCCTTCCAACCCCCAAGTCATAAAGGGAGGGCCAAGAATTAATTCCTTCTTTCACTATTGGCAAGAAGTAAATAGCTTTTTACTTTTGTTTATCCCCTCCCAATTTTTTGAGACAGCCTTATAGCCCAGGCTAGCCTTTCCACTCTCTATATCTAAGGATGACCACTTACTCAAGAGCTTCCTGCCTCAGTTTTTCCAAGTGCTGGGTTACTGATAAGGGCCACTGTTCCCTGCAAAGTTTTTTCTTCTTCTTTTTTTTTTTTTTTGGAAGGATTGCATTGCATTTGAGACTTCTAGAGAAACTTTTTTTTTTTAAAGATTTATTTATCTATTTTATTATATATGAGTACACTGTAGCTGTCTTTAGACACATCAGAAGAGGGCATCAGATCTCATTACAGATGGCTGTGACCCACCATGTGGTTGCTGGGATTTGAACTCAGGACCTCTGGAAATGCAGTCAGTGCTCCTAACCACTGAGCCATCTCTCCAGCTCTCAGTGTTCTTAACCACTGAGCCATCTCCTAGAGAAACTTCTAGAGAAAAATTAAGGTAGTTTCCTGAGCCATTTCTATTAAGATAAATTAAATATAAAAATCTAAAAGAAATAGCATAATAAAAATTATATATATATGTTCATTTTATGCACAAAATGGAAAAACATGAAAGAAAATAATGCACAAAGTTTTCCCTGACTTTAGCATGTTATATATTCTCCAGACTTACATGGGGAAGCATTATTTCTGCAAGCAGCATTTATACTATACAAACCTGTTTAGTTTGCTGTATAATTTTGTGTGATGTCAATATATTTATAAAAAAAAGTGCTAAGTATTTTTAATGGGAGTAGTGATTTAAACTGATGTTTTCCTATTTTGTGGATTATTGCTATAGATTATCATGAGCATAGGGTATTGTGGGGACTCGTGGTTTATGTAGTTCTTCAGATGTTACCAAGGTTTGATAATTCTGTTTTCAGATACAAGTTGAAAAAAATCATACTGAATAGAATCCACTGAAGAGTATGTTATTGTATGTTTAGCAAACATTAAGAACATGTATTTCCTGACTGGAGAGAGAGCTCAGCAGTTACGAGCACTTGCTGCTCTTGAAAAGGACCTGGGTTTGGTCCCCAACACAACCACATGGTGACCCACAGTCATATATTTGATTCTATATTTTCTTAAATCTATATAACTCCAGTTCCACAGGATCCAATGCCTGCTTACAACCTCTGGGCACCAAACTATGTTGTACATACATACACGAAGGAAAAGTATTCACAAATAAAATTTTTTAAATTTAAAAAACCTACATACTTCCTTTTTTAAAAAAGTAAATTGAAATTTCAAGTTAATAAGCACAAACTATTTTGAATTTTTTAAAAACATCTAGGGCTAGAAAAGGCTCAGCAGGTAAACATGTTTGCCTGCTAGCTAGAGTCCCAAGACCCACATGGTAGGGGGAAAAGACCCTGACTTTCCCAAGTAGTCCTGTGACCTCTACATTGAGTCAGTGGCATGTGTGTGCTCCACCCACCAAGAAATGTTAAAAAAGGAGAAGAGAAAAACCCTAAGTTTTGTCTTTTCAAGAGTATTTGTCTGGTATCCTGGGTTCAGCCCCTAGCCTGCGTAAAGCTAGGTTTGAGGGCACATTCAAGGGTAGTGCCCGGGGTGAGAATCAGGAAGTTCAAGGCTTAGCATTGTGTGGTGGCACATATCTTTAGTTCCAGCACTCAGGAGACAGAGGCAGATAGATCTCTGAGTTTGAGGCCAGACTGGTTGTAGGGCTATGGAGAGAGACCTTGTCTCACAAAAGCTTTAAAAAAAAAAAAGTTCAAGGCTTGGTCAGCCTGGGTACAAGGAAATGTTTAAGAAACAAAACATCAACAAAAAACCAAACTAATGCTGTAGTATTTATTTGTACAATGGTCTTTACTAGCCAGAAGTGCTCCTCAGAGCTGTGAATGGTAATTACTTCTCTTTTGCTTTAACTTAAAGCACCTTTTCCTTTTGTTTTATTGCTAGGAACTGAACACCTAGAACCTGCACATACTAGGCAGGCTCTCTACCACTGAGCTACGTTCTTGAGCTTGGCTCTTGAGACAGTCTCAGTGTATAACTCTGGCCATGGGCTCACAGCTCTCCAGCCTCTGCCTGCAGAGTTCTGAGCAGTCTCTTCCTTGTCTGGTTGTTGTGATGCCTGCTTGTTTTAGAATTTTTATAACTGTGTGTGTCTGGTGCTAGTGTGCCACATTGTGCATGTTGAGGTCAGTTGTGGTGTCCATTTTCTCCTTCTACTGTTATGTGGGTTCCAGGGGTCAAACTCAAGTCATCAGGTTGAAGCAGTGAGTGCTTTACCCACTGAGCTATTGTACCAGCCTGTGGGGTTTTGTTTGTTTGTTTTTGTTTTTAAGATTTATGTCTCTTATGCATTGGTGTTTTGCCTGTGTGAATTATGTGTACCATGTGTATCCATGCTGCAGAGGCTGGAAGTAGGTTTCAGACTCCCTGGGGCTTAAGTTACAAGTGATCATGAGCTAACATGTGGGTGCTCGGAATTGAACAAGTGCTTTTAACCACTGGGTTCTTTCTCCAACCTTATGATGCTTATTTTTAAAATACAATGTGAATTTTCAGGTATAGCCACAATAATGAGCAAAAAAACCAATATGGACCTATAATTTGGCACAAAACTAATCTTTTCCCCAAAAGTAGGTACTATTTTCTAACCTTACTTAGTGTCAAATATATACACACACACACACACACACACATATAAAAAACTGGGATTCAGCAGTAGTTAGAGTAGCGCACACCTTTAATCCCAGCACTTGGGAGGCAGAGACAGGCAGATTTCTGAGTTTGAGGCCAGCCTGGTCTACAGAGTGAGTTCCAGGACAGCCAGAACTACACAGAGAAACCCTGTCTCGAAAAACCAAAAAAAAAAAAAAAAACAAAAAAAAAAACCCACTTCAAAAATCTTACTATTTAATCTTAGTCTATGTTTATCCGTGTAAAAACAGATACCTAAAAACACAGATGTTCTAAAATGATTATGGCTGGAAAAGGTAACAGCCTGCCTGAGTAAGAGCACAGTAGTCCAGATGTGTAACAAGTTGAGTAAGGGGTGGGGAAGGGGTCAGCAGTTAGCAAAGGGTGCAGATCGGTTCCCTACCCTCACATCTGGCAAACTACAGTTCCTGCAGCTTCTGATTAGAGGCTTCTGGCTTTTGTGAGAACCCACGCACACCTGGTGCACCTGCAGACAAATAGAAACATATACATAAAACACAAAATGGTTTGATTGGAAGGCACAGTGACCATGAACATTGAGATGACTTTTGTGAAACTGCTCTAGGATCTAATACAATATCGTGGCCAAGGATTAAAAACAAAGCCAGTCCGCATTGAATTTAATATTTCTAACAATTGTAGTAAAATGTTACCTACATTCCACCCTTAGGTTCCTAGTTACTAGAGACAGATGGACCAGATTCACCTAGTTAACAACCTCTACCTTATCCTCCCTCAGAATGTATTACTACCAGAATGCTTCTATTCATTTTTTGATCTTCGAAAAGAATTCAAGAAATGTTGCCCCGGCTCTCCTGATATCGACAAGTTGGATGTTGCAGCCATGGCAGAGAGTATCCTTTAAGTTTACTTAAGAATGCTTCGTACCCTGACACTGCTCTTCTCTCCTTTCCTTTTTCTTGTTTTTTAAGTTTTGGTAACAGAACTTGTTATGATCTGGAACTCGTTATGTGGTGGAAGGAGGCTGCCTTCAAATTTACAAGTGGTCCTCTGCCTCAAACCTCCCTAGTGCTAGAATTAAAGGTGTTGGCCACCGTACCTGGATCAAGAAAAATGCTTTCAGTTTTCAGTGTGTGGATCAAATTGTTCTGTCCAAATGTGTCCATGTGTGAGGAAGAAGTAACAATACCTTAATCATTGACCTACTGGACCTGAGCAGATACATGATCTTACGAGTTTATTTATGTTAGATGTTTGCATTTCTGATGATAAATATGTGAGTATATCTTGTGTGTGTGTAGAAAGACGCACACATGTAGATTAGATAAAATACAAAGATTCATTCCACTTTGTCTACAGATCCCAAAACTACTTGTGCCTGATTGTTTTGGTCTTGGAGTCTCTTTTTCCTTCTTTACACTAGGTAAGATTTTGTTTTGAAGTACTGGGCTCCTTTTAAATTTTACCTGTTAAGTATATACCAACCCGATCTTGTGAATGTATATAGTATGATACTTGAGGGCGTGGTAAAACGGGGACTGTGACAGACATAGTGGTGACTGTCTCAACAAGTTGTGAGACAAGAGGTTGTTTTGAACATATTTACTTAGAAAGATAATATTTTTATTTTATTTTTACTATTTTTTCCCCCCAAGACAGGGTCTTACTATATAGTTCTGATTGTCCTGGATAGAACTCACTATGTAGATCAGGCTGGCCTCATCTCAGAGATCCACCTGATTGTGCTTCCCAAGTGCTGAGATGAAGGGGTATGCTACTTGGCTATGAAAATGGTATAGTGAATGCTTCACCTATTTTTAAATTGTTTATTTTTTTAAATTATTTTATGTATGTGATTACACTGTAGCTATCTTCAGACACACCAGAAGAGGGCATCGGATCCCATTACAGATGGTTGTGAGCCACCATGCGGTTGCTGGGAATTGAACTCAGGACCTCTGGAAGAGTAGCCAGTGCTTTTAACTGCTGAGCCATGTCTCTAGCCCTGTTAACTTGTTTTAATGCTTAGAAATTTTGTATTGTGTAGGACTTACTGTCTACAATCTATGAAGTCTCTTTAATGTGGAACTAAATAGTCATGTATACAGAAGGGAAGCTGAAATTAGATTAGATTTCTCCTTGAAAGCCACTTTAGGGAGTCCTGGGATGCTGGAGAGATGGCGCAGCAGTTAAGAGTGCTTCAGTTCTCAGCATCCGGCATCTAGGGGGTTGGCTCCCAACCATCTGTAACCCTAGGTTCAGGTGGTATTCTCATTGTATTGGTAAAGTATCTGTTGCTGTATTTGTGAGGTTCTGTATGTGAAGGTATTTTTAGTTTTCTCAAACAGCTGACAATGCAGAGAAACCTTCATAATACACCGTCCCTTTCTTCTGTTGGTCCTGGCCTCTGTAAGGTTGAGGTTGGGGCGAGGGTTGAGTTACTTGGTTTGCTTCCTTGCTCTATTCTGTGCTTCGCAGCATGCTTTAGTGGCTGACCTCTGGGGAGGGTTAACATGATTTTCAGCACTTTTGCCCGCTGTTCCTGCTAACACTTCTTCTGTAATCGTATGTTGGCAGCCCCTTTTCAAGTGCATGGTGATAAAAATTAGAAATGTTTGTCTCTATTAAGTGGCTGAGTCTTCCTCCTACATGTGTTATTCTTGAAATTGGAAGTAGAGCTCGGGGTCCTTTAGCAGTGTATCTGATTAAAAACAAAGATGAGATTTTTGTTTCTTACACTGTTACTTGTTTGGAGGTTGGAGGCGTAGCTCAGTTGGAGAAATGCTTATTGGAGGGTGAGCTCAGGGTTGGATCATCCCTGTAATCCCAGCACTAGGCAAGTGGATGCGGGAGAGCCAGGGGGCCCAGGCCATCCTCGGTGAACTAGCAAGTTTCAGGCCAGCCTGGGCTGTTTGAACCCCAACCTTTAAACAACAAAAAGAAAATGGATTCTAACTTTAAATGTTTTGAATAATGTTTGTTTTTTCCCTTTGCTATTTTAGAAATGCTATTGACTCTTCTTAGCACAGGCTTTTATTTTCATTTCTGCTATTAGAATCTTTCTATTCAGAGGAATTGATATTTCCCTGACCAGGCTGCCAAACCAACCTCAGAGGTCAAAGGAAATGTACTGACTCTGGAGTATCAGCCATGTCCGTCTGTCTGAGCATGTGTGAGCTGCCGAGCTGTGCTCTGAAACTACTTGTTAATACCTCGTTAACGTGGAAATGGCCCTGAATCTAGAAACATGAAGATAGTCAATAAACACATTTGATGGTTTCATCAGATGATAGAGTGAGCTTGTCTGTCCCACTAGTAACAGAGTGTGCAGGTTGACATACTTTTAACAACTTTCTTACTGTACAAATAGTTGTATCTTATTCTTAAATCTTACTAGTTTTTTGAAACAGTTTCACAGACTCCAGGCTGACCTAGAACTTGCTGTATCATCAAGGGTGATCTCTTGATCTTCCTGCTCCCACTCATAAGTGCCAGGATTGTAGGCGTGCACCTCCCTGCCCAGCCTGTCTTTTGTTTTTCTGTTTTTTTTTTAAATGCAAGCGTAGAGCTATGGATTTGTTTGGAACGCCAATGGCTGTGGTATGTGGTAGGAATATTTCTTCACTTTATATCCAATTAAAATGTAAATTTCCAGTACTGTTCTTTTGTTGCATTTTGAAATGTGGACTTGCTCTGTAGTTTGTAGGCTTGCTGGGAACTTAGGCAATCCTGTCCCCATCTCTTCCCTTTGGGTGCCCAGGTTATATGTACGAGCCATCACATCCAGCCACTGATCTTTTTTAATTTTTAGAATAATTTTAGATCAGAGCAAATTGAACAGAAAGTGCAGATTTTTCCATGCCATCCCCACCCCTCCCTCAGTGTTCGTTTGGCGTATGTACAGTTTGTTAAAGCTGAGCTTCCTTTGCTCTGTCACCCTGAGTTTACATTAGAGGTCACTTCTGGTGTTGGGCTTTCGAACATTTATGATGATGTACCCACCACTATCTCATCAGAAAACACAGTAGTGAAGTACAGAATGGTCTCCTGTCCCTGTGCTTTTGATTTTTCCAGAAAGTCTTGTCAGGTACTCAGAATAAAATAGTGATAATCTCTTAAAATTGGCTTTTTAAACCCAATTATACTTGTCTTGTATTTATCTTCATGGCTTAATAGTTCAGCCCTTTCCCCCTTCCTCTCTTTTGTTTTTGGTTTTTGAGACAGGGTTTCTCTGTATAGCCCTGGTTGTCTTGGAACTCTCTCTGTAGACCAGGCTAGCCTTGAGCTCACAGAGATTCTCCTGCCTCCCAAGTGTGGGACTAATGGCATCAGTGACCACCACCTGGCTAGGTCATCTCCTTTTGGTGATGCATAATATTGTCTGGATATACCACAGTTCATTCACTCTCCTACTGAAAACATTGATACCCACTTGTGACAGTTAAGAATAAAGTTGCTCGCTGGGCGGTGGTGGTGCACGCCTTTAATCCCAGCACTTGGGAGGCAGAGGCAGACGGATTTCTGAGTTCGAGGCCAGCCTGGTCTACAGAATGAGTTCCAGGACAGCCAGGATTACACAGAGAAACCCTGTCTCGAAAAACCAAAATATAGATAGATAGATAGATAGATAGATAGATAGATAGATAGATAGATAGACAGACAGACAGATAGATAGATAGATAGATAGATATAGTTGCTCTAAGTATCACTGTACATGATTGTGGGGAGACATAAATTTTTTAATTCATTTGGGCTAAGTACCGAGAATTGTGATTACTGGATTGTATAGTACAACTGTAAATGCTTTGTCTTCATGCAATTTTGTGTATGACAGTTTTTTTGGTTTTGGTAGAGAAAGCAGCGATTTTGTAGAACTTGAGTGTGTGGTTTTTCAAGGTACTTATGGAAGATAGAAAAAATGAGAATGCTATTGTTTTCTGTGCAAGTCTTTTAGTACCCAACCCTTGCCTGTGCCCCGCCCCGACCCTGCCCCCATGCTGGCATTTTATAGTGGAGAAGGAAACTAAAGGTATTGATGAAGTTTTGTAACTGGGTCTTGAGGGCCTGCCACTCTATAGATTTGCCTTTGTGGGAGCTAAGCGTGCCTGGCTTTGTGTTCCTAAATCAAGGCTTTGTAGCCTCTGCTGTGCTCTGTATAGGAGAATGGTTGGCTGCTGTGAGGAAACGGGAATTAGGAACTGTGTGAGTGTTGCTCCTGCTCCGGTTCCTGGGGGTGGGGTAGGTCAGGATCTGTGTCAGTGATGCTCCCAGTTCCTTCAGTGTTTTCCCTAGTCTGCTCTGAAACGATTTCTACTCTTGGTGTATGCTCCCAGAGTAATTCCAGCTGCAGGTGTGCTAGCCATGTGTAAGTTACACAATGCTGCCTGGAAAGGCCTTATCTGTCAGGTGAACTGTGCATTGCAAGGCATTCAGTCAGGTGACGTGGGGAGAGAATGATGGGGTGGAGCTTGTCTTTGTGGGTTTTTTTTTGTTTTGTTTTGTTTTGTTTTAATTTTTTGTTTTTTTAAGGAAATTATATTAGATTCCTTGGAGAAATTAATAGTAACTATTTTCTACATTTTGATTACAGAGCCATTGATATAAATGGTTTTTATTCATTTACTAAACTATAAAGTAGCTGCTTTTTTTTTATCCTGAAATTGAATTATTTCCTTTTAACTTCTGAAACTTTCTGTTTTGTTTTGCTGTTTTGTTGTTTTTGACAAATGTTGTGCCGGGCGGTGGTGGCGCACGCCTTTAATCCCAGCACTTCGGAGGCAGAGACAGGTGGATTTCTGAGTTCGAGGCCAGCCTGGTCTACAGAGTGAGTTCCAGAACAGCCAGAACTACACAGAGAGACCCTGTCTCAAAACGAAAAAAAAAAAAAAACCCA